ATTTATCGTAAACTTATCCTAGTACTTTTCCCACTTTCCATTTATTTTTAATTCAAATGCAAGTTAATCCTTATTAATTCCTTTAAATATTTATTTTCCTTGACATTTATTACTTTTTATTTCCAAAATTTCTTCTCGTATCTTCTCCACTTTTCAATTTAAACCTCCAAATAAATAAAACCCCCCTTTTATCACCCCGAAAAACCCTATGCCACAATCATCATTCTGGCAATGTTTTCCGTTTCAATTTCCATCAGGGCAGCACTCTCGTTTTAGTAACCTAATCAACTCGTTAGTAATTTTATGGCAATTTCACCAGCTTATACCGTACAGCATCCTTATGGCTGGCCATCAACGGCTCATTTATCCTCGTTGCTCATCAGCAGAGTTCCAGAGTTCCGTATCTTCGGTTCATTTTCGCCTCTGCCAGTTAATGACATTGCTCTGGGTTGCTCCGTGGAGCTGCTCATAAATTTGACCTGCTCTCCTGGTCATTGGATAGCCATTCCTGGTGGTGTTTTCACCCAGGATTATGAATTGATTGCTAGCAGGTGCTGGCCAGGGGCAGAACCGACCGTTGGAATATCAATAACTATCCCCCTCCTCGTATGCTAAGCTATTTTTCATTTTCACCGCTTTCAACTCTTTGGCTTTGGCTTCATCTATCTCTCCATATATATAAATCTATGGTTTTGTGTGTGTACATTTTATGAATCAAATAACCACGTAACGCTTTGTTTTCTTCTCTTTTTTTCCCCCTTTTTTTGCATCATCAAAACTTAGTAAATTAAAATGGTCAGCGAGGCGTTTTTTGTGTATCGCTAGCATTTATTTTCAATTTGTGTGGCATGCTTTTAGGCGGACGACCTTCGTCCAACGCCCCTGCTTACCATTTAGTTTTTGTTTAGCCACAATTTTGGATACAACGTTGTTTTCTATTCTTTTTTATTTTCAATTTCTGCTGCCTTTGTGTTTGGCATATTGATTAAATGGAAGCTCCGCTTAGGAATGCGAGTGAAAACAATTGCAGGGGGCAAGCAACAACGCAGGGTTCATTGCATTACGGCCTGATTGCACAAATAAAAGCTATGGCAATTGCCCTGCCCCAGCCAAAAGGTTAAATTTAGAGCAATTTATTAACGCACACACGTGTCGAACATTTATTTTGCGACTCCGAATTTTGGAAGTGGAACTGTGGGCTCTGGGGTTGGCAATTTGTTCGTCTGCCAGCCGGCGGTTAATTGAAACGCGAATGCGTCGACTTTACAAGGAGCAAAAGCATTAGCTTAATCATCCTGGCAGAGCAGAAGGGAAATTCTAAAACGGCTTACCGCCTTTCCCGTCTCGGTTGGGACCATTAAAAATGCATTTATCATTTGGCATTTTGAAAAGGCTTCAACTTCCTTCCTTTGCCACCATTCTTTCTGGGGTTTTCTGAGGCTTTTCTGGGCTGTCTGTCTGCCTGCCCGGAGACTGACACCTTGTATATCAGTCTGCTCATCTCGTGGAGCACTTTAAGCTGTTTGTGTTCTTCAGAAACCGAGCACAAATTGTATTTGCTGCCGCCAAGACTGCGAAACTGAGAAACTTTTGCTCTGAGCAAGTGAAAAGTGCAAACTCCATGCAACTTGGGGCTTGTTCGAGCGCTAAACTGTTACTTCCACATGCTGAACTCGGATAGGGTTCCGACTGGGACTGGGGACTAGGATTTGGTTAGTGGCAAATGGCATGTGGAAGGTGGTGGAAGGCAGTGGAAAAGCGGGTCGCCAATCTGGCTCCAGCTGGCCATCGATGGTGGGTTTCTAGCCGAGACAAAGGTGCTCCTAGAGTGTTCATAAAAACGAAGGCTACTTTCCCTCTCCCAGCTTAGGGAACTAGGTCAGAAGAACACTTGAAATAAATTATAAAAGTTAGGTTTCAAAAATATATAAAGTAGATATAATTTTAATAAGATTTCTTTAAAATATTTTAAGGATTTATATGCCACTTTTTACACTTAATACTTTTTTTTGCTTTTAAAGTATATTTAGAATTTTACTAGATTTTTTTCATCTGTACACACACTCACTTCCACCTGGCTTAATGGTAAACTGGCAACGCCAGGTAAAAGTTGCCACCACACCAGCTAGAGGAGTCGGCTTCCCATTCATGTTTAGCCGCAATGCAGCGCCTGCATAAATTTCATTAGATTTTAGCTCCGGGCTCTCCGCCACTTGCCACTTTTCCTCACCTCTCCCGAAGCCACCTGGCTGTGTTACCAAAGTCTATAACAAATCAATTGGCCTTCAGAGAGGAAAAAAAGAACGACTAAAGACGCAGACAGCTGGATCGAGGTAATATATGTATATAAATATATGTATAGAAAGTGGGCGGGTAGCATCTCGAAAGCACATACTCGTAAATGGCTTCCTAATGAAGTCATAAAGTGCCGGCCGAGGCAACTAGATGTCCGCCATTAAACGCACCTTGAGCCAAGGCCAAAGCCGCTGCCGAAGTATGCTAATAAACGTAAACCGAGACCCATTACCAGGGGAAGTTGAAGTCATAAAAATAAAAATAACCAAGACTCGAGAGCCACCACCGCCAGCTGAATGATGAGTGCAGGGAGCGATTTACTTAGCTCGAAGGCAATTCCCGATGAGCCGATAAGCTGAAAAGCGCCGCGAGAAGTGCCAGGTGGAAGTTACTAAAAGTCCAACTATAAATGCAAATTTTTCAGATGAAGAAGTGAAGTCAAGGAAAGGTGCAGAGACTAGGTACTTGTAGATGAGCTTTATGAGCTTCTGAAGAGTTTAGATTGACAAGGTTTTCAGAAATCTTTTAATTATTTAAATATATTTTGATAAATATATATTATTAAATATTATACTTTGAGAAATGAATTATTTTTATATATTTTCCAAAATCCACAAGGTTTTTACTTAATCAGAAAAATATTGAAAAAAGGGGAACCGCCAAAAAGTATGGTATGATTTTTTAAAGATCTTTAAGACCCGTGTTTAAATCCTAAAAATTGATATTTACATGATTACCCAAAATACAAGGTTTTTCTTACTTAAAAAAAATACTACATAAATAAAGAACCTCTGAAAAGTATGCTATGTTTTTCCCCACTAAGGAACCCGGTATCCAAAGCTCCAGGCTTGCATATATATTTATATTTATTTTATTTTTATTTCCCTTGTTTTAGGCCTACGAATTAATTTTGTAATGGCTTTAGCCATATTTCCTACACACGTCTCTAGGCCCAATTCGTTAAAAATGTAGGCCAAAATGTTAAAAGCCTCGTCTACGCTAACACTCCGGCCCAATAAACGGGATCCCACCTTTTAGCCCATAGCTCAGAGGCATAAAAGCAAAGTCTTTCAAGTGGCACTTTACCTTTTGGGAGGAAGAGGAGGCGGGAGGTTTGGCCAGGTGTGTACTAGTGTGTGTGTCTGGCCCAGAGACAGAGACCGAGATAGAAAGAGAAATAGACAAAGAGTGCGGTCAAAGGAATAATGCAAAAAGGAAACCGCGAGAGCCCAGACACTCGCAGACCGAGAACACACATCGAACATGCGAGCAGCAGCAGCCTTACGTGCTGACAATGATAATGACTTTGGTGGAAAAAGGGAGAAGAAAAAGCGGGTGGAAAAGCGGTAGGAAAAGTGCTCTATATGTAGAAAGTAGAACTGTCTCCGTGGGAAGTGCATCGAAAACGCTTTGCACGCTAATGCACCATTATCAGGGGCTGCTGGAAACCCGTAAATCTTCACTTGCATCCGGGGGACTTCAAGGGCTTTAATAGATATTTATGTGTGCGCACGATGATGGGTAGCAAACATTTGCTCTAGATCCGGATTCCTGAGATCCTTGGCCATAACTTTGATAAATTGTTGCCAGCATTCCCTTTAAGTTCAAGTGCTTAAGCGGAAAACGCGAAAAACATAAAAGAGTAAAAAGTAAAAGGTAAAAAGTAAAAACTAAAAAACTGAATAGTGAATAGTGAAAAGCGAACCAAAGCAAAACAAATTGTGGCGAAACAAAAACTGCAAACTACATGAACAATTTGGCATGCAATGCGAGAGGAAAACGAGCCAGAAACTAGAATGGGAAAAAGAGAAGCTTTTTCCACACCCAGCTTGTTGCATTTTTTCCGCTGTTTTTTAGTAGGGGTTGAGGGAGGGCAGGAAACCTTAAAAGCGAGCAACGCTTCAAATTTATGTGCTGCGGAAGTGGTGACTTTTAGTTTTTTTTCGATCCTACCAGGTGTCAGACATGCGAATGGTGGGGAGGGTTGGGTGGAAAAATCCCCGGGGGGAGTGGCTACCACCACTTGGTGGCCAGTTAAAGGCAATCCAAGTCAAATCCTAGAGCAGCAGCTGCCGCGGAGTCGATTTCCCATGCATTTCAATCAAATGAAGTCGCATAAAATAATGAAGCTGCCCGGGGGGAGAGTGCTAATCGGATAATGAACATTGAAACGGGGCCAGTTTTAATTAACCATCTCTGGTTTCTATAGATACCAACCAGTATCAGAGTCTCCCTCTTTTTCAGTGGAAAAACACGTGTTCTAAGCACTTTGAGGTAGTTAGCTTTTACGATACTGTGCAACAGCATCCACTTAGCAGGGGGTCCTTCCTTCCTTCCCCCTACTTTCCAGACTTCCCACTGCATCGGGTCGGTTAATGACCCGAACGCCCCACTCGATTGGCCATTAAATACCAAATCCTAAACAAGCTATAAAGTTTATGCAGAAATAAAATTAAATTAAACGAGCCAAGTCTATCCCCCTAATCAAGTTGTTTACACCCCTCCAAGGGAGTAGGGTAGCTGCGATAATGAAGGGTATTGCATCACTTGACTGGGATTTTTATCCTTCTTTCACTAAAGAGGAAGTCCTGGGCAAATATCCAGCAAGAAATGACTGTGAGTGGCATTTTTACTAGAATTTTTGCCCCAAGAACCTCAAAATAAACTTGGAAAAATTATTTAAAATTTAGGAAAACTAAGAAAAATATTTTTTTATAATTCCATTATTCTTGATTTAGTATTATTTGTTATATTATTGTTATTAGTTCCCATCTTCCTAATTAATATCTCCTATTTTTATAAATTCCACACACATTTTTTCTCAGTGTAGCTATTTGCCGTTATGCAGGTAATTGCTCCACCATCGACACTTCCTGCCAGGCCCACCAATGTCCTCGGGCCTGGTTCATCACAGGAAATTGGCAGAAATTCCATTGCGAGAGAGAGTTCTTTGAATTTTGCAAGAGCAGCCGGTCGTTTGGGATTTCACTGGACAGGATGAATGGATGGATGGATGGTTGGATGAATGGATGGATGAGCAGTGTTCCTGGGATCGGTTAAACCCAGCTCCGCTCAGAGGAAGAGCTCCTTGGGCGAGCAGAGGGCAGAGAACTGCGAATTCTTGCCCGCCTGGCATCCCTGGGTGGCTTGGTAGATCGGCTGTCCGCATACCGGCGCCCGGGCATAATTGCAGGTCAGCTTGAAGTAGGTGATGTTGTCTATCACGTAGCGGACACCGGCACAGCCCACATGCGAGTTGCCCTCAACAGCCATGTTGGCAAAGTGGCTGAATCCTCTGCCAAGTAAATAAAGACTCTGAAGTATATATACACTTTTTCACCATACTCACTTTGGCTTGTTCTTCTCGCAGGGAAATCTCTTGATCTCCGCGGCGGTTATATTGTCCGATTCCGACCACCAGGCCTCGGTGGCATTGGCCAGCAGCTGTGGATATAGCTTGATCATCTCCTCCTTGGGCACTCGCCGATTCATGTTCACCACAAACACATTCTGGCCGGCATGCGGGAACTGGGCCGAATTGCGGCAATCGTCCTCTTCCAGCTGGCACATGTGGGCATTGAACTCCGCCAGGATGGCCAGCTCGGGGCTCCACTGCATCGTCACAAGGCGGGCAGCCTCCGGCAGGCGGGAGTCATTGCCATTGGCCAGGCGATAACGACGCTCGTTGTGCAGCTCCAGGACCTTGTCCTTGATGATGGTAAAGTACACCAGACGCGTCTCCTTGGTGGGACAGGAGCTTTGGTTTTCCGCTTTCAACTAAGAGGTTTTGGATTAGCTCTGATTTCTCTCTCTGTAGGAGCTCCTTTTTACCTTTGAATAATATTCACAGGCCACATGCATTTGTCCCAAATCACACAACTGCGGCTGACAATAGGCATTTGCTTGTGCCGAGTCTCCTTTGGACTCTATAGTCCCCAGGAGCAGAGGTATCAGAGTGAGAAGTACCTTCATGATGGATAACTACGAGGCTGTGCAGCAAAATCAGCGGAATATGTGGCTTATAAAGACCAAGAACTTGAAATTATATACCCCTTTTAGTCGTAAAAGAACAGCTGACATTTGTTTTTGACTTTACACTTGTCGAAATAAGAAAGCAGTTGGTCGATAAACGGGGAATTTTCTTTTGTTACCAGCTCTTTTAATTGTCATTGTTACGCGGAAGTAGAGCAGACTCAGTGACAGGAACAGGCTTTTCCACTTCCCAGAGTCAGTCAGTCAGTGGGCCACAAAATTGGCCGCGAAAAGTTGTAGCCAAACATTCTGTTACCAAAAATGGCTGTCATCATCGTTGTCGCATTTAACAGTTGAGTGCCTTTAGCCAGAGAGAGAGAGAGTTTTACTTTCGTTTGGCTTTTACACTGAACGAAATTTGAATTAATAAATAATTTTACAAGAATAATATATTTCTTTCTATAAAGAATATATTTTAAAGTCGCGTTAAGGGGTTCTAAATTTTTTAAGCTTAGCTTTTTGACCTTTTTTCTTTTTAAAATATTATGACAAATGTTATATCTTATTTTATAATTAATATATATTTTTAAGAACCTTTATTAGTTGTTAGTATTTAAATGAAATTACATTTTTAATTTACTTGTATTTCTCCCAGTGAAACGGATGTCAATGCCATTCGCATTAGGCCACATTAAATGCTATTTGAGGGTAACCCAACTCGCAGGGACTTTTGCGGAAAACTCGCTACTACCACCCTCTTCCTCCCCCCGTAGAAATCCAGGGGTATGAAGCCTAATAACTCAATATCGCCCAATTGATTACGACCAAAGTCGCTTGCCAGCTGAGTCGCCTTAGTCGCTAATTGTCTGACAACTGAGACCCCCGAACAAGCCTGATTTGCGTGTAATTGGCTCGACAGCAAACACACAGCGGACTTAATTGGGCTCACTGGAAGGAGTAAAGGACTTAAAGCCGCTTTCTGGGCCTTGGCCGAAAGATGAACGCCTGAATTATGCGCAATTATTCATTCCAGAGACTTGAATTCGAACTCGAACTCGATCTAGAACGAATATAAGGCGCGCGTGCACATGTCAAGCGGCCAACTCTGGACGTCTGTCTTGTTTAGTAGGTTGTAAATTTTAATGCAAAAGAGCACAACATTTTTTGTGATTTATAGCTTTTTGGGGGCCCAGCCCAAGACCAGTTCCCGAATCCATGTGAAAAGGGCATGCATTAAACAGCAGACAAGGGGCCAGGGCCAGCCTCTGGCCGGAAGTCCTTCAGCCGGGCTCCTAGATGTGGCCAGCAGCACGCGTGCACCTGTTGCCTGCCTGCCTGCCTTCCCTCCGATACCTAAAATTTCAGCCACAAAGTCAGTTTGTTTTGTGGAAATTTATGGCCCCGGACGTGGCCAAGGCAAATACAATTTTTTTCGGCCCCCTCCCGGCCTCCCCTGTCTATAATTTATTTTTAATAGAGAGACAACTTTCTTTCCTGGGCGGCTGGCTCCATAAATTCTTATTTCTTCTTGGTCCGCCAGTAATCAAAAAAAGGGAGAGCGGGTCGAGGATCGTGAGCAGAAGGAGCTTTATCTGGACAAGCACTCAATTATGCATTCAATTATCCAGGTTTATTTACATAACATACTTAGAGATAAGGTTTTATATTGGGTATAATGGTAATAATTCATTGAAAAAGTATATTTTACAAATATTTATTAAAGATAATTAATAAATATACTGTTTTACGATGAACTTCCTTTAGTTATATAATTTTAAAATAATTTTTTAATAGATTCTATCATTTTCCAGTTAATATTTTATTTCAAATACCTTTTTCCAGAACCTCTACTAAAATAGTTAAACTCCCATTTTCTATTTCAAATAATTCTCCAAGTACTAAACCCATTCCTAAACCATTCAGCAAACATTTCTACACCATTTTCAGCATTCAATCACATCCTTTGGAAATAATTCAAGAGCTCCGGACAAGTGTTTTGCATTTAAAATGTCATTATCCGTGGAAAGTCCTTTCCTTTGTCCTAGACTATGGCAGTGTTTTGGTATCTGGTAAATGGCATCCTCCGGTATCTGGACAATGCATCTGTGTGCATTTCCTCGGCTGCTGTCAGAATTTTGCAATTGAATAATCAAATTGAATGGCCACAATTGTTCGTGTCCCGGTTCGGTGTGCGTGTGTTTGAGTTGATTTATTGGCCAGGCCAAAGCCACAGTAGGGCTTTGGCCATAATTCAAAGCGTAGCTACTTGGACCACAAATATTTGCTAATGAAATTGGGCGGGGTAAGGATGAGGGATTTCTGCTGGACTGAAGGCTGCGGGATTTGCAGACTCGTGTCAAAGGATTGCTGGCCATCAATATGCGCATAAAGTTCAATATTTCCACGCAATTCCCCGAATCCTGCTAACAATAATCCCTAATTTTATGCAAATCTCGTCAAAGTACTTTCCCTCGCTCTTGCTTTTCAATGCCGCGTCTGGCAACTCAACAGCTTAGCCGGGAAAATCCTCTCCCAAAGACTTTTCCTATTTGCAGGGGGGATGGAAGGGGGGTGGAAACTTTTTAAGCGCCAGCAAGGAAAACTTGTCCGTGTCTTGCATGCCAAGGAAAATGTGTCAACGCAAAAGTCCGCGGTTGCTTTGGCCCCCGCCGACCCAAAAGTCGTAAACATAAAAAGGAATCCGGCGCAGTGTCCCCCAAACCCAATTTAAGTTAATTAAGTTGTTACACTTCTGATCTAACACACGAATCGCAAAAAAAAAAAAAAAAAAACCGAAAGTATTTTTTAGCTTTTCTATTTTCATTTCCATTCGAAGGCCGTAAAACACATTCTTTTTTCGGGGCCAAATTCCAAAGGATAGCAAAAGCGGCTCAACCCATTCATTTGCATGGCGTCAAATCATAAAAAATTAAAAACGAATTTTAAATGGTCTTTGGGCTTAAAAAACAAAGTATGCAAAATGGGAGATTAAAGTAAAATAACCTTTAGCCAAGTTTAGTTGAACTTTGGCCTGCTAAATTAATTTTGAAATGATAAAAATAATATTAAAGATAGCAAATGCACTGCTTTTTGTGTCACATCCTTTAAAAATATTCCTTAAATATTTCCAAATATTTACTCTGCCTCTGACAAGATCAGCATAACCCCCATCTGCCCCTAGGGTATAATTATGCAAACGTTTTATTATGTTGTTCCTACGTGCGAGTGTGTGTCGCTGCAAGTTTTTTAATTCTTTCGAGTTCGCGCATTTTTAAAGCCGCTCGGAAATATGCAAAATTTCTGTGTTTATATTTTCTTTTTTTTTGCGCTTTGTTGCAACCAGCAAGCAGCGTCGGTGAGCATTGTGTTCACACATAAATTTTAGGCAAACACACACAGCCACAACACACCCAGGCACACATGCATATTCGCTGGTTTATTTGGGTGAAGGCCACCAAAAGAAAAAAAAAAAAAAAGGGAAAACCCAAAGGCAACCACCACAACGGGCAAATCTCAGAATTAAATGCAATTTAGTGCAGCAAAGTGGCAACCCACACACACACAGGAATGCAAAGGCACGGGAAATATTAGGGAATTTTTATAATTTTTAAATATTTAAAAATAATTATTTAACAACCAAATTAATTATAGAAGTTTTTAATAAAGAAAATATTTCATTTAAGAACGATTTTTAAGTCCAATAAAACAAGCAGTTATTTTTCAGAACCGTTTTCATATTTTTAAAATTTTTAATTCAATTATTTAACAACTTAATATATTTTTATTCAAGAAAATGCTTAATTTTAAATCAATTTTTAAAAAAAATTTAATAAGGACAAGTTTTTATATGCACTTTTTCATATTATTTATTTAAATAGGTTTTTACAAGAATTTTAAATTATTTGAATATTTAATTTTATATTTTAACAACTATATTTAATTATTAAATTTTTTAAGAAAAAAATGCTTAATTTTAGACATTCTTTTAATTTTTTTTTAAATAAATAATATGCAAAAGTGCATGAAAAAGTCCAGCTTATTTTATTTAAAATTCAATGTATTATCCCCATGTCAAATCCATTTTCTTCAAGTGTATTGACAATAACCATCAATATTATATTTATTGCAAACTCCTAGTACTATTTGTATTTAATAAATATTTCAATAGCCTGTCTAAAAGCTTTAATTTAATATACAATTATGATTTTCCCTCTCTACCTCTCTGGCTGTGTATGGAAAAGCCAGCAGCAGACACAATACAAATTTTGCTTACATGCAGGAAAAATGTTGGAAAAATGTGAGAAACTTTTCCACTTTGAATTTGTGCTGGAAAACGCATTCAAAATTACCCAATTCATTGCTGGCATAACATGTCAATTTGTATTGGCAAAGGTCCGGGGGTAAGCCAAAGGGAAATGGCAGACACTTGAGATTTTTCCTCTACCCACCACCACCCCACCCACTTGGAAAGCTACAAGTAAACAAAATGCCCCAGCTTAGACGCCACTTACATATGCCATTAGGCCGGGAATGAAAACAAGCAGAGGAAAAAATACAGAAAAAAAGAAAAGCTCAAATAAAAAGGGGCTATCGAACAGGGAAAGCGAGCAAGCGGCTGTAAGCCTTTGGAATTCTATAACAATGTTGAATTTTTGAACACGGCATTTGATGTTGTTTTCACATTTGAATGTTAAGTGGCCGCTTTGTCAAGGCTCAGCCGAAGGATGCTGTGAACCCTTGCATATAAGCACATCTCCCTGGCAGCCAGAGTAATCTCTCTACCATCCGTCTTCATCTCTATCTGCCACTCGCAATCAAAGCTCGAGAGGGGCAGCCGAGGGAAAAAGGAGTACAAATTGAAAATGCAAATCTTTGGCACAGCTCAAAAGTGCAAAACAAACAACAGGCCCCAACACTGGCAGCGAGGAAAATACAGGAAAATGGGCACAAGGCAAGGCGAAAGGGGATTTTCCTCAGCCGAGCTAAAAGTGCATAAATTGTTGCGTACTTTGCAGCGCGGTAATAAT